CGGGTCTCGAACCCGTGGGCTCAGGCCATCCACTCACCTCAGCCTCCCAAAGGTGCGGGAATTACAGGCTGAGCCACCGAGCCCGACTTAATTTTTTATTCATTGTAGAGATGGGTCTTGCCAAGTTGCCCGGGCTGGTCGCAAACCCATGGGTTCAGGCAATCCACTCACCTCGGCCTCCCAAAGTGCTGGGATGACAGACTGAGCCACTGAGCCCAGCCAGTATTGAACATCTTGAAGATATTTTATAAGATTGTTGTTTATCAAATCCTTGAAGGACTGTCTGTGGATTACTGATTCACTCCTGGTAGGTTGTTTCCCTAAAGTGTTTTGTAATTTTGAATTAGAAGTCCATCTTCAGAGGAGATGGATGTGTGGAAATTCTGTATATCTTGGGTTGAGAATCTGCCTTTCCAGAGTGATCTGCGTTTCTTCTTCTAGGCATCTCAGTGATGCCATTTTGTAGAGCCACTTTTATAGTTACCAGTTTCCTAAGTCAGGGATTCGTTTTCCATATGGTTATTTAAACTCGAATGTCAAGCCTACCTGTGGTACTAGGCCATCATTAATTTTCAAAGGGAAATGTTTTCCCCATTCTGCTGAGAGGCCAGGCAAAGTCAGAGATGATTCCTCGTCTTCCTGAGCTAGTGAATGCACTTTTTTCTCATCTTGCCCTTCTGCTTCAGGCCGAACCTGCAGAGAACTCAGATTCGGCTCTGCTGTCTCCTTTACTGGGCACACCTGTTGTCCCTATCCCACACAGATATTAAAGCCCAGGTGTCTATGATCTGAGGCTAACAGCCCCCCATTTGATTCCCCCCTCCTTGGTTCAATTATTTCTCTGTTCTAAGCATCTGGAGTTTCCTTTTCTTTCCTAAAAGCTCAACTGTGCATTTTTTAAAAGTATATTTTATCAGCATTTCTAGGTGTTTGACCCAAAGGGTTTTCACACAAAAAGGTTCTATACTGTACGTTCTTTTTTTTTTTTGGATTCAGAGTCTCACTCTGTTGCCCAGGCTGGACGTACTTACAGCCACCACAGCCTCAACCTGCTGGGTTCAGGTGATCCTTCCACATCAGCCTTCCAAGTAGCTGGAACTACAGGCGTGCACTACCACACCCAGCTAATTTTTCTTTCTTTCTTGTAGAGACAAAGTCTTGCCATGTTGCCCAGGCTGGTCTCAAACCCATGAACTTAGGCAGTCCTCTTACCTCCGCCTCCCAAAGTGCTGGGATTACAGGCGTGAGCCACCGCACCCCAGCCTATACTGTACATTCTTACCTTGAGCTACAAGATTCAAAGTATGGAAGCGTTTGTTAGAAAAATTAAATATTTTAAAATAAAGAAATCATACATCTTGTCTTTTTTCCAGCAAGGTTTAGTTGACTTGATATGTTATCCTTTGGCCAGTTGAAGCTGTGGTACAATCTGGATAACAGCTACCATTGTACCAACAGAGTACATTTAAGCAGAATTGTCATAGCAGACAATAATGATGGGACAGGCGTTAAGCCAAAGTTCATGCTTAGCTATATGAGTTTAATTTCCAGGATACATGTGTTTATGAAATTCCTTTTTCTAAGCACCTATGTACAGAAACATTTAAATCTTTAAATCGATCCATTCTATGACCTTTTCTCTTGTAAGACTAACTGTTGCCTGCATATTGGCAGCTCATTTACCTGGTTCTCTTCTTATTTTCTGTTTCTAATTCATACAATTTTGGGGCTGTGTTTCTTAAATAGAAGGGACTATTGAACAAGGTTGAGAAAGTCCAATATTCGTTTTAGTCTGGCAGTTCTGACCATTCTCCTTTCAGTTTCTTGCATTGTAAAAAGCTATTCAGTGAAAATGAGCAGTCCTAGTATGCTTTGTTTATTTTTATTGTGGTAAAAATAAACATAAGATTCACATTTTACACATAGTTCAGTGGCATTAAGTGCATTCACATTGTCGCCCAGTCATCACCACCATCCATCTAGACCTAGAGCTTTTTCATCTTTCCAAACTGATACTCTGTACCCATTAGACAGTAATTCTCCACTACTCCTGGCACCTACCATTCTACTTTCTATCTCTATGAGTTGGATTATTCTATTAACCCCATATAAGTGAATCACATGGTATTTGTCCTTTTGTGACTGGCCTATTTCACATAGCATAATGTCCTCCTGGTTCATCCGTGTTGTGGAATATGTCGGAATTTCCTTCCTGTTAAAAAAAAAAGCTGACTCATAGTCCATTATATGGATATATACCACATTTTGTTTATCCATTTATCCCTCAATGAACCTTTTGCTTTGTGTGAACAGTGTGGCTATGAACAGAGTGTGGCATGTTTTAAAAACATGCAGTGGTGAGTGTGCCACTGCACTCCAGCCTGGGCAACAGAGTGAGACTCCAACTCAAAAAAAAAATGCAGTGAGAAATGTCAAACTGTTGGAATTTTTAAATGCTGACATAATTCTGATGGCACTCTACTTTGGTTTTCTTTAGTTGCCTATAGCCATTTGAATATCATTAGAGGTTTATAGGCTTCATCTCTAAGAAATGATAACTGTAGTTCTTTTTTTTTTTTGAGTTGGAATCTCACTCTGTCATCCAGGCACAGGTGACAGAGGTAGACCAAGCATCAGCCAGGAAACAAGACTGTTGGAGCTTAATTTGGAGAAGGAGGGACAAAGGAGAGGGAGAGGTCTCTGGGGGTGGGGGAGGAGGTTGAGGAGGGTGTGATTTTGACACTTTCAACGGTACAGACAAATCAGGGTGTTTCAGGTCACAAAGCAAGTCAGACAGCATGGGGGTTAGCCGTGGTGAGCCAGACTCAAGGGTAGGGGTAGACCCAGCAGTTCACCCAGGGCGGTACGGGGCCATGGTGCTACTTGCTCATTAACATACTCCATTTTAGATATCTGATGAAGAACAGTATCCCAAATCAAAAATTATTATGTGTAAAGAAGAAATGAAGAGCTCTGTCTACATTGAATCAGAAAATTCACACATGAAGTGCTGACCCAACCTTGGCTTGAGCTGTCCCTCCCACAAGCTACGGACGAGGGAGCAGAGATGTGCACGTACAGGCAAAACTTACAGCTGCTTTTAAAAAGGAGAAAGAAGCTCGTTGCTCGGCGAAGCTCTGGTCTGGCCTTGTGGCTCTTTGAGCTATGGCTGCCATCATTTTCCTAGCTTTGGCCCTTTCCCCTACCTTGAGAGAGGCAAATCTCCTCCCTCTCTCCCTCCCTAATTTACTTCCTAAATAAACTCTATTTTTCCAGTCTAAAAAAAAAAGAAGAAAGTAGACTCCTTAGAGTCTACCAGACTCATTCTTTTGTACAGAGAACACCTGAAATTTCCAGACTAATTTTGCTTGCAACTGAATATGTGTATTACTTTGAATAGTAGTCAGCAAAGGGACACGTTTTATTCATTCTAAGAGTAGTGTTCAAACTTCCAACTTGAAATAAATTATCCAAAGCATAGTCTGGAAAACCACTGAATTAGCATGTAAGCCAGATATCTAATATCCTTAAATATGGAAAAGTAAGTCAATATGTTTGTTGTCATTTTATAAGATACTCAGTTGCCTCTTTTTTCTGTTAACACCTAAGATTTCATGAAATTTTATGATTGTAGTCTAAGAATAAATTCGTAGCACCCATTTTGAAGTTTTTTTCACGGTCTCTTTTTGTCTTTCAGATTTTTTGTTTAAGTTCTTGGTTATTGGAAATGCAGGAACTGGAAAATCTTGCTTACTTCATCAGTTTATTGAAAAAAAATGTAAGTGACAAATGGTCATTCTTTCATGCGTGTCTTCTGAGAGTCCTCTCTTCTTCAGACTTGTTTATGGTCAAATTCTTAATTTTTTTTCCACGGGGGAAAGAAGTCATAGTTTAAAAGTACATTAAAAGGTTATGTTGCTAACCCTTTGGTAATGTGATTGAGTTTTTATACAGTTAGCATTTCAATTTAATAATGGTTCAATATATAGTTGCTTATACTGTACACTTCCCGGATGGTAAGAGGTAATATGGTGGTGCTGAAGATACCAGAGGGATTCTCTGGCAGGAATCCCATTTCATGACAGAGTAGTCAGAGAAGTCCTAGGAGTACATTTTGGATTAAAAAAAATAGCATTTGGTCCTTATAGTGGTCTTGCATTGCAGTTAAAGCAGTTAGTGTCATCAGGTTCTGTTTCATAGGCCAGGAAATAGAGGTTTCAGGAAGTTAGTGTGTACTCTTGAGATGACCACCCAGTAATCGGAAGGCTCTGGCCCACATAGCCCATGTTTTACCATAGACTCACACTCACTGTTTTGGTAAGGGGGATTGAGTTTTTTATTCTAAACCATGTGAAGCCTTGGAAGACCGTAGAAGACTCATAGGTTTGAAAGGCCCTTAAAAGACACAGTGCTTTCATAATAGTAAAAAAGAATGGTGGAGAAAGACCTGTCTGTTTAGTGGCAGTCAGATGAAGGTTCAAAAACAGAATTAAATTGATTCAAAGAAGTGCATTTTAAGAAAGTATGCATGAGACACCACAGGTAGGTCAAAAGGGATAAGAGCCAGGATAGGGCATCTTGGCAGAGAGCCTTGATGAAGAAAATTTTAGAAGCTTACTCTGCGACTTCCATTTTCTTTTCCTTTTTTTTGAGTTGGAGTCTCACTCCGTCGCCTAGACTGGAGTGCCATGGCTGCTCCCTGCCACCGCAGCCTCGCCCTGCTGGGCTCCAGCGATCCTTCCACTTCAACCTTCCAAGTCGCTGGAACTACAGGCGCACGCTACCACGCCCAACTAGTTTTTTATTTTTATTGTAGAGATGAGGTCTCACCAAGTTGCCCGGGCAGGTCTCGAACCCGCGGGCTCAGGCAGTCCACTCACCTCAGCCTCCCAAAGCACGGGATTACAGGCTGAGCCACCGAGCCTGGCTTACTTCCATTTTCATCAACCAAGAGCTTCTGGAAGCCTCCATTCAGTGACATAGACCCAGTATAGATTAGTCACAGAAGTCCTTACTGAATTTAATAGGTATTCATTCACTGGGTAGCCCAGGTTTCCAGGACTTTGCCTTGTGATATCTCAGAAAAGAGTACCCAGAGGGCATTGGACCAAGGACCCAAATTATGTAATCATCCTCTTCAGGGAATGCCCATCCTCCCCAAACTCCTTCCAACAGAGTGATGAAGGAAGGGTCTTATTTTATTTCTCTTGTGGCTGTTGTAATTAGGATGTCCCTGGCCTCTTGAAGGATTTTACTCTGCATTTTGTAGTTTACTCCTAATGGAGTTTCCGTACTAATTCTGTACCATCTGGGCATAAGACAGACTGGCATAGTCTGTCTGACCACCCATCCAATTGCCAAGTGGCTTCCCTGATTTCTGGAACAATTAAGTTTTGATAATGGACTGTAAAGCCATGATATTCAATTTTAGCTTATCTGTTCATCATCACAGAAATTTTCTTTTACAGGGAGTGTATTCCAGTTAGATTTAGCAAAACATTTGTTTTGCCTATCTCCTGCCCATGTGAACAGATAGTACTGATTTCTCCAACAAATTTGTTTCAAATTATTGCCATGGAACACTAAAATTAATGAAAACTCAAGCACCTGTAAAATGTCTAGGGTTTTGTTTTTTGGCTTTGTTTGTGGGGTTTTTTGATTCTGTTTTTTTCACCTTTTCCCTTAATCTTTGGTGCCTATCACATTTTCTTTGTGGGCTGTAGTGTTTTTCTTTTTTTAAAAAATTTCCTTATTCAAATATAGTGGTTGGAACTATGACTGTCTCATTACTAACTGAATTCCAGACCTGTCACTGGGCATAGTGCTCCTCGGAATGGTGCCTTGGTATTGCATGGTCACCATCTGTGAGTGCCTTGGCTGTGCACAGTTAGATGTGGTTCTGATAATGGTGAGGCCACCTCTAAGCCCAGGTTTTAAAACATAAGGTTTGTTTGGAGAGTTTGAGAAAAAGCTTTATTGTCTCTTTGAGAACTGGGACTGTGTGTTCTATTTAAAACGAAAGGCTTCTTACCAGTGGACTGTGGGGGAAATGAATGACTAAAGTCATTTACATTTTCCATGGATATAACCCTTGCTTGTACTGTTACTTGTATAAATCTATAAGCCTCTTACTGTTATGTTCCAAAATTAAATACGTTGTTTTTGTTTTCTTTTTTAGTCAAAGATGACTCAAATCATACAATAGGAGTGGAATTTGGCTCAAAGATAATAAATGTTGGTGGTAAATACGTAAAGTTACAAATATGGGATACAGCAGGACAAGAGCGATTCAGGTAGCTTTTTCTCTAACTTAATAAAAATATATGACAATTGGATTTGAAATAGTTATATTTTCTCAATATAATACATAAAGTCTTGCCCCCCTAGCGACCCCTCCCACCTTCAGTGTAGTTTCACCGTGTATTCTACAGTATGTTTTTAAACGAAAAGTAAGACAGAGTAATAACACAAGCCTTTTTTCCCTTTTAAAGAAGAACTTGTAATAACCCCTTGTGTTGGTTTTGTTTGTTTCCCATGAACTAGAGCATGTTCTGATGTTTGATTCACACTCCACAAAATATTCTCTCCTGCACACTTTTATTCAGTACAGTCATAATTGATGCTCAGAGTGACTTCAGATCACTACTAATGAAGTTACATGTGTAGTATTCTATAACCACTAAAGCAGGAAAGGAGGTAATATTTAAGTTGTAGCATTTACACGGACACCCAAAGTCAAAGCAGATATTCATTGTTTCAAAATTCAGGGAAGTAAAACTCACCCCCACTGTAAACGTTTCACTTAATTAAAGCAGGGTGTATGTTATATCGTAAATGCTCAGTAATTGCTTCAAAAATATTATATCCGTCATTGATTGCCATCTTTCTTCTGAAAACACTGATTAAGCGTGATGGATTCTGTCCGATATTTATGCCTTTCTCCTCTCAGAACCCTGCTGAAATGACTAGAAAATAGCTGAAATAGCATTAACTCAGAAAGGTCAAGATTGGGAAAGTACACAGTTAGGACTGAGTGGTTTCAAATACCACGTTGAGGTAGGAAGTGGCTGGTGTAGCAGATGCTGTGTTAAGGAAACCATCTCCCCGCCGAGTCCCAGGAATGACCTGGCTTTGAAAGCAGCAGGTTTTGCAGGAGAGACTGGACTGTTGCTGTACACGCAAAGGAAGAGGTTCGTTCTCTAAGCTGGAACGGGGTCTAGACTCCAGATGATGAGATGCAGCAGAGGGCAGGGCCAGGGGAGGCCTGCACAGGGGGAAATGGAGTGCAGGTCCGGAATTCAAACCCACTTCTGTAGTTCGGTGTGTCCGTCCCAGGCAGAACAAAAGATTCTTCTCTGCAGACAAATGAAAAGCCCAGAGGGAAGGGCTTGAAGATACTTACGTTTTGGTTTCCCAGTAAAACAGCCCAATCTCTATCCGTCATCAGACAGTGAAACCCTCCAAGTCCACCAGCTCCACCCACACATAAAAAGCTTCCTTTAAACGTTTTCATTTCTTGCTCTTAACACAAATGATCAGGCAGAAATTGGAAGACCGTCTCTAATAAAAAAGAGAGCCCCAAATAAAACTGACATTTTCAGGGAATAAGAAAAAAATACAAGAACTACAATATCCTCAGAAATAAGAGCAGAGATTGCATTCAAATATTAATAAGAACAAAGCAATATTTAGAAAGAACAAGCAGAATAATATGTTAAGTAGGGTAGTGATCTCCCAGAAAGTGAATCAATCCAGGAGGAGCAATGCCTGACTTCAGGAGTCCCAGAGGAGAGACGAGCAGAGGAAACAGTAGAAGGAAATTGTTCACTGAGGCAAAGGTCCGTTGGCCCACCTGACACCAAATACAAATCAGTAGGACAGAATTTCAGACCAGGACGTAACGTGTGAAATTTCAAAACACCAGGGACGCCATGAAGATCCAGAAGGGTTCCAAGAGGGAAAAACAGTCACATGTAAGGCGTTGAAAATGGAATTTAGCTGGACCATTCCACCGTAAAGTGGAAGGCTAAAAGAAACAGAAGAATTGCCTTCAAAACTCAGCATGAAAAAAGTGTTTCAACCTAAATTCTAAAACGTGGCCAAACTCTGAGTGTCAGAGTAAAATCCAGATACCTTCAGATGTGCAAGAATGGGGAGGAAACAAAGGTGATCTTTCTTAGAAACTTCTTAGAAGTGCACTTTCCTGTAAAGTTCAGGAGGATCTGCTTCACCAGGACAAGGGCGTGAACCCAGAAGGAGGAAGAAGCGGGCAGCAGGGCCCCAGCCCAGCAGGGTCAACGGCAGCGGCTCGCAGCGCCCCTTCCTGGACGGGGAGGGGGCAGGAGGCGAGGGCATCTGTGAGCAGCCCGAGACTCTCACCAACGTGGCAGCGGCAAGCTCTAAAGTCGTATGTGCTTTGTAGAAAGAAGGAAACAGAAAGAGGAGGGGGCCTTGTGTTTGCTTCTCCTGTGCCCGGAACAGTGACTACCACATGGGGCTCAGCATGTTCTGTTTTAAGGACTTAAGTGCAGAAAAAAACCAATGACCTGAAGAAAAGCGAAGAGCACTTGCCTTGGAGGAGGGGAGTAGAGCCCTGGAGAGGAGTGAGGCGAAGACTGTGTTTCATTTGAAGACTTTTAGTAACATTTTACTTGAAAGCTATGTACATGTATTATGTTGGTTAAAATTACTTTTGCGGTGGCTCAGCCTGTCATCCCGCGCCTTTGGGAGGCTGAGGTGACTGGATGGCCTGAGCCCGCGGGTTCGAGACCCACCTCGGCAGCGAGACCTCATCTCTACAATAAATCAAAAAATCAGCCGGGCGTGGTAGCATGCGCCTCTAATTCCGGCTACTCGGAAGGCTGAGGCGGAAGGATCGCCGGAGCCCAGCAGGCGAGGCCGTGGTGGCCGGGAGCGGCCGCTGCACTCGTCTGGACGACAGAGTGAGACTCCAACTCAAAAAAAAAAAAATTACTTTTGCAAAAAAAATTAACACCTCAAAGAAGTATTCTTAAATCCATAAATTTGTACACTTGAATAATTTATATGAGAGACCATTTGTCAGTCGGTTGAGGGACTCCTGCCTGTAATCCCAGCGCTTGGGGAGGCCAAGGCGAGAGGATCACCTGAAATCAGAGTTCAAGACCAGCTTGGGCAATAGGCTGAGACACCTCTATAAAATTCTCTCTAAAAATAAATACAAAAAAGAAAAGTAGCCGACCATGATGATACATGTCTGTAGTCCCAGAAACTCAGGAGCCTGAGGTGGGAGGATCACTTGAGCCCAGGAGTTTGAGGCTGCAGTGAGCTGTGTTTGTGCCACTGCACTCCAGCCTGGGGGACGGAGTGAGACCCTGTCGCTAAATATATACAGAGGGTACCTAAAAAATGTATACACATTTTAAGAAAGGAAAAAACTGTATTAAAACTGTAATACTCCATATATGCCGATAGCAAAAGATGAATACAAGTCACGTTTGACTTCTGCAATTACAAGAGGCGCGCAAGGTGGTAACCACACGCAAGGTGGTTACCGTCAGCGTCCAGACACTTCTGTTTATGGCAAACTAGAAGAAATGCATGATTACCATCTCTTCAAATGTGTATACATTTTGGGGGCACCCCATTTGTGAATAAATACATAAGCCATTTGTCCAAAGACGGTGTTGTAAAAGAAATTTTTTTTCTTTTGAGTTGGAGTCTCACTCTGTCGCCCAGACTGGAGGGCAGCGGCCGCTCCCGGCCACCGCAGCCTCAACCTGCTGGGCTCCGGCGATCCTTCCGCCTCAGCCCTCCGAGTAGCCGGAATTAGAGGCGCACGCTACCACGCCCGGCTGATTTTTTTTTTATTTATTGTAGGGATGAGGTCTCGCTGCCCAGGCGGGTCTCAAACCCGCAGGCTCAGGCAATCCACTCTCAGCCTCCCAAAGGCGCGGGATGACAGGCTGAGCCACCAAGCCCAGCTAAAAAAATTTTTTTAATAAATGTTTTTTTCAGATTAGAAATTATAGTTTATTTAGAAAGTAAATTGGAGAGAGAAGGAGGGGATTGACTTCCCCAAGGTAGGGAAGGGGGCCAAAGCCAGGAAACATGGCAACAGCCATGGCCCGAAGAGCACCTGGCCACTCCAGAGTCTAGTGAGGCAGTGGCCTAGCAATGGCAATACATTTTTTAAAAAGTAGATGCGATATAGCTTACCTTGAGGAGAACTCTCAGATGTCTCCTTCTCCATAAGCCGGGCCTGCCTCCCCTGCCCTGAGAGGCCGCCAGGACAGGGCTAACCACCGCTCACCTGCCACCCACCTGCCAGAGGTTGGGCACCCCATCAGCTCCCAAGAATGGCAGAACCAGGCGCCAGGTGGCGCTAAATAGAGGCTGCAAGTGAAGACAACTGAGAAGGATGGCTAGGGGGAAGAGCCCCATGGGTGGGAACCGGAAGGGCTGTGTGGTGCGTTTGGGTTTGTGTCTTGAGATGGAAAGTCCCAGGGCCCATGAGAGTTTCCTGATGGAAGAAACTTAGCAAAGAGGGAGAGTTGATGGTGCAGGGGAGACAGCATGACTGGAGGGAAAGAGTCCTTATTTCCTGTGGATCATGGAGGGGCAGGTGGACACAGGGTAGGCGACTGGATTCCAGGGTAGGAGATGAGGCAGTTCCCAGGGAGGACTTCCCTGACCCAGAAGAGGTGGAGAAGCCACCTGGGGAGTGAGGGAGACACGAACCCGCGGAGAAGCAGTGCCGCTCCCTTAGGGTGGTGGTGGCTCCCTTCTGCCTGCTGGCCCTCACCCCCTGAGGGGCTCTCCGAGGGGACAGCCGCTCCTCTGAGAGTCCTGCTTGTCCCAGTCCAACCCCTCCCCACCCCCCTCCACCCCCGCTGCTTCTGCAGCCTGAATTCAGAGGGAGTGACTCCACCCACGTGGGCTCAGATGGCTTACAGGCCTTTGTCTTTCAAAGCAGCGCCCCATCTCTGTGTTGTGCTTTTCAAGGCAAAAACGGGTGTTTTTGTGGGAAGACAGTATTCCGTGGTTGAGGGCCTGGCTGCAAGTTCAACTAGTGTGGTTCTTCCAGGTCAGTGACAAGAAGTTACTACAGAGGCGCGGCTGGGGCTCTCCTTGTCTACGACATCACCAGGTAATCCAGCTCCCCAGGGCAGCGAGACCCTCGCTGCTCTGTGTTCCAGAGGCGGGTCTTGGCGAGGTGCCCTCTGTGCTGTGTGTGCTCTGTGTGTCTGGGGTGGCAGTGTAGCCGGCATCCGGGAAGCCCCTGAGGCCTTTCATGGGGAGCGTGGAGGTTTGGAACTGGCTCCCATCACTGCTTTGCCACATAGGGAACAAACACCTGGGTGAGGTTTCAGGTAGACGAGGCAATTCTTTATGTTTCATTACATTTCTTAACATGCTGCCTGGACATTTTCCTTAAGGGCAACAAAGTAATGATAAGTGAAGTGAGAGGCTGAGGACACAGACCCTGGACTCAGATCGTGGGGGTTCGAATCCCAGTTTGGGAACCTAGCTGGGTGACCCTCAGGCAAGGTATTCAGCTGCCTGGACCTTAGTGTCTTTGACTGTAACATGGGGATAGTTATAATCATGTCATCCTCATGAGGTGACTGGGAGGCTTAAATTAGTTCATGTGAAGCACTGGTGGTAGCTATTGGCCACATCAGGCAACTTAACTGAAGTAAAATAAAAGTTCCATTTCTTGGTCGCATTGGCCATGTGTGGCTGGTGACTGCCAACTCGGACAGTACAGGCTATGGAAGATTCCCACGCGTGGAGAAATTCCACCAGACAACAATGACCTTGGCATTTGCGGCACCATCTTGGAAACGTGTGATCTAAATGGTGTCATCTCGTACCCCTTCTGGATGGGCACTTCCAGTGAGAGGACGCCCTCCAGCTGCTTCCCTCTCCCTGGCTGTGTCCCAGAGCTGGGTGCTCTGAGAAGAGGCAGGCAGCTCCTGGCAGCCCCCAGGACACCCCCAGGCACGAAAGGCTCAACCTGCTAAATTGTGAGGTCATCAGTCAGGCTAGGGAAGTGCCAGGAGAGGACATTTGTCCTTACAGACACGAGGGCCGGAAACAGCAGCTCTGAGAATCGGTCCTGGCGTCAGACAGACCTGGTCCAGTTCTGGCTTCACCCCTGGCTGCCGTGTGACTCAGGGCTGCTTAATCTCGCCGGGCCTTGGGTTTCTCATGGAAAAGGAAAATCATAGCAGTCTGTGTCGCAGAGTCCTTGTAAAGGGTCGGTGTGATCAATTCCTATTAAATAAAGTGACAGCAGGCTGTGGGGTCTGTAGTGGCAGCAGGTAGCTCTTAAGTCTTGCTTACCAGAGTCCAGCACTGTGGCTTGCGCAGACCCAGAGCTCAGTGAATATTTTCGGAACGAAGGAACTTCTGTTTCCCTTCACACCTTGATTGGGCAAACGAATAACAAAATATTTGACTTGCTTTCTTATTTTTCTGGAAACAAACCAACAAATCCTGTGGGCGTGGCATCCACGTGGTGAGTTCTGGTGTCTGAGTGCCCATGAAAGTGCTGTTGCATCACGCTGAGGTGTGGAAAGCAGTGTGAGTAGTAAGAGTGACGGGAAAGCGTTGCTAGTTTGATAAAATACATGTATTGTTCTCACAATCTTATGTTACGCAGCCGAGAAACCTACAATGCGCTTACTAATTGGTTAACAGATGCCAGAATGCTGGCGAGTCAGAACATCGTGATCATCCTCTGCGGGAACAAGAAGGACCTGGACGCAGACCGCGAGGTCACCTTCTTGGAAGCCTCCAGATTTGCTCAGGAAAATGGCAAGTGGCCTTTACAAGCTCTCGCTGCCTTTCAAATAGCACACCCTTTTGAGGTTAAAGCATCTCATGGCATGTCAACATTAGACTATACTTGGGGAATGTGGAATTTCTAATTGCTTTTACTGTAAACTTAGACTTATTCAGCATATTTTCAGTAAATTACAGAAGTTACTGTAATGATAAAAGCAAAAGTATTGGCATTATAAAGTGACTTTTCAGCCTAGGATCTTAGACTATTTTTAGAGATCTTGAGTTAAAGTAAACCTATAACAGTAACTTTTAAAGGTTCGAACCAAATGATGTCATTGTTTTTAAATGCATTTTGAAGGAAAATTGGTGAAATATTAGTCCTAAATAGAAACAGTAGAAGAAATACTTGGCTTATTGGCTTTGTTTTGCTTAATGTGTTAATTAACTTTGTTTACTAAACTTAAGTCATTTGGTTACAGGTAACTGTGAAACATCTCTGAATTTCCTTATAAAGTACATGAGAATGCCACATAAAATTAATGGTTGCTTTTGGATAACAGAATGATAAAAATTCAGACATTTTAATTCTTAGAGCCAATCAAGAATTAGAATATCCTAATATCAATCCTCGATTGGGCTCTAGGTCTACCAGATTATATTCTTGTAAATTGACTGGCTTTTTATTAAAATAAAAATGAGAGAAACACGTAAGCCATTGTGAGCGGTTTTAAAAAGCTACTTAGAAATACAGAAGCTTAGAATGCTAACGCGCCAAAGGTATTTAGCTGTCACCCAAAGGAACCCACTGGGCAAGGGAGGACACAGGAAGAGGCCAGGCCCTGCTGAGGGAGCGGCAGCCCAGCCTCGCTGCTGGCTCAGCAACCACGCTGGCCAGCAAGGTCCTAGTTCTTGTAAGACCTCCTCACGGGCTAGATGGCAGATCGCAGTGCACTCCCCTAAAAAGTTGGTCGTACGTGGTGATGTGCAGATTGTTTGGAAAAGAGAAATGCTGCCTCACCTGCAGTGGGCAGCAGGGCTGTCTGGCCAGCCTGCTCCTTCCTGACGGGCGGCCTCCAGCTGGAGGCCATGTGGCTTGCTCAGCCTCTTCCGCAGATGACGTGCTTACACAAGACACCAGCTGCTTCCAGAAGAGGGCAGAATTCTCCTAGCGTTCTGAAAAACATATCTTGACGTAAATTGATTTTATATTCACAGAAATGTATGGTTTTAGGTTGTGAATTATATTCTGCTGGCAATTCTAAGAGAATACTAAAGCGGCTTTTAGTAAGTGAAAATTGTGATCATCTTCTAAATGTGGCTTCGTATTTTGTTTGATGTCAATTTTAGAGCTGATGTTTTTGGAAACAAGTGCACTAACAGGGGAGAATGTAGAAGAGGCTTTTGTACAGTGTGCAAGAAAAATACTTAACAAAATCGAATCAGGTAAAAGCCTTTACATTCGTGAACTTTTCTTCTGCATATTTTATTCTCTAGCCTGGTAATATCCCCTTTTAATATTTTCAGGAGTAATGTGGTTCCATAATCTCTCTGCATGTGGCAACCTAAAATCACCACTTCGGGACTGAAAGGTTGTGTTCCCATGGCTGTGGTGACAGCCCCTGCTGTCAGGGTGGCTTCCACATGATGGAAAGGGTGGGCACACCAGCTCAGCTGGGGAGGGGCTGTTGGCATTTCAGGGAGTGCTTGCTTTTAGCGCTGTAGCCTTCTTTGGGTCCATCACTTCAGGGGGGAAGAATAGACCTTTGTCCGCTCTCTGCCACCAGCATGCTCATTCTGTTGGACCAATGGTCACATGTGAGGGAGTCATGAGGACATCATGTTGCAGAGTGGGCATCGTGGAGCCATGCAGCCAAAGGCGATTCTATTTCTGAAGCCAACTGAGCGTGTGTCAATGGAATTGTCCACGTTTTTGTATTTGTTGCTTCAGTAAAAATAATGCAAAGGTCAGGCTCGGTGGCTCAGCCTGGAATCCCAGCACTTTGGGAGGCCGAGGTGAGTGGATTGCCTGAGCCTGCAGGTTCGAGACCCACCCGCGCAACTTGGCGAGACCTTGTCTCTACAATGAATCAAAAATCAGCTGGTCGTGGTAGCACGCGCCTGTAGTTCCAGCTACTTGGAAGGCTGAGGCGGAGGGATCACCGGAGCCCAGCAGGTCGAGGCTGCGGTGGCCGGGAGTGGCCACTGCACTCCAGTCTGGGCAACAGTGAGACTCCAACTCAAAAAAAAGAAATTATTAATAATAATAATGTAAAATAATACTCATGTAGGCAGCTGACAAAATGCTGTCGTTATCGTTAACTACCATTGATTTAAATATTTAAATGTCAAATATATGTGGGCATTCACTTTTCAATGAATTTGTCCAAATATCTGAATGCCTATTCTTTGTCAGGTGCTGGGATACAAAAATGAATAAATCACAACCCTTGTCCTCTAGAAACAGTCTTTCGAGGGAGACGATCAAAAGACAATCATAATACTGTTAGGTTGATGCAGCAGTTGGGGACTGCCTAGGCCCCTAGGGTAACACAAGGAAGGCAGAGCTACCCCAGCCAGAGAGTACAGGTAGTGTCAGGGAGCGCTTGCAGGAGAAGGTGATGGACGAGCTTAGTCTTTCAGAATATAAAAAGTGAGCCAGCCGAGGGAGTGAGGAGGAGGAGGGAGCAGCAGGAGAAAGGCAAGAGCCAGCCAGTGGTTCTCGTCAAGGATCTAGGACTTCTAGGACTTCGTCTCTGGGTTACAGATTCTCGGCCTTGGCTGTCTATTGGAGTCACCTGGGATGCGTTAAAGTTCAAATCCTGCTGGGCTCGGTGGCTCAGCCTGTCATCCCACGCCTTGGGAGCCCGCGGGTTCGAGACCCGCCTGGGCAACTTGGCGAGACCTCATCTCTACAATAAATAAAAAATTAGCCAGGTGTGGCAGCGCGCGCCTGCAATTCCGGCTACAGCCAACTCCAAAAAATAAATAAGTAAGAGTTCGAACCCTGGCCGGGCACAGTGGCTCAGCCGGTCATCCCAGCACTTTGGGAGACGGAGGCGAGAGGACTGCCTGAGCCTGGGGGTTCGAGACCAGCCTGGGCAACTTGGTGAGACCTCGTCTCTACGATAAATCACAAAAATCGGCTGGGTGTGGAGGCGTGCACCTGTGGTTCCAGCTGCTTGGAAGGCTGGGGCAGAAAGACGGCCGGAGCCCAGCAGGTCGAGGCTGCGGTGGCCGGGAGCGGCCACTGCCCTCCAGCCTGGGCGACAGGGGGAGACTCC